CTACCATGCAGCTTTTGAAAGTCCTGACCAAGGATAACATCAGAGCACAGTTGTGGCAGAATAGCTAAATGTACATCTTGATAATCCTTTCCATTAACTCTGAGATTTACCTTACAAAACCCTAAGGTCTGAATAGAGAGAGATGTTGATGCCATGGAAACGGTACCTGATGAGTGATGTAGAGTCAAGGAGAGCCGTTTAACTAAGTCAAGGTTGATGAAACTCTCTGAGCTGCCACTATCAATAAGACCATCTACTTCTGTTCCTTTGATGAATACTTTCACAACTGCCTTTGACAGTGAATTTGGAGTAGCCGCAGAAGTCACTGTTGCTAGAGTCGCATGATCACTGGAATGTGTGGAGGCACCATTCTCTATTGCACTTTGTTTTTGCCTCCTTACACCGTCGGGTAAACAGGGGCTCGTTCTGGTCTTCCCATTGTTTCTGTTGCCCTTGGGAATAAACCTTTCCACTGCCTCTTTCCATCATTTCGTTTACTGGTTTTCCTGCCAGTTCTCTGTCCCACGGAACCTCCTGCAGGAAGTTCCTCAACCCTATGTAGTCCCCTCTTTTATAGTCAGGCTTTACCCATTCAACTCCTGTTACTCTCTCCACTTGCAACTCTACTATGTATTCAAAGCACAGAACCACGTGGTCGTTAGATCCTAGGGGACTCTCATACGTGATGTCCTCAATGCCTGAACTGCCCAGGGTGAACACAAGGTCCAATCTTGCTGGTTCATCCTCCCCTCTCACTCTGGTAGTGCCCTTAACATGTTGGCGCATGAGGTTTTCCAGCACCACATCCAACATCTTGGCTCTCCATGTTTCAGGACCCCCATTTGGCTCCAGGTTTTCCCAGTCAATCTCCCTGTGGTTGAAATCCCCCATAACCAGCAACTTTGCTCTGCTGGAGTGAGCTCTTCTTGCCACCTCAGCAAGTGTGTCCACCATTGCTCTGTTGCTCTCTTCATATTCCTCTCTTGGCCTCCTGCAGTTCTGTGGTGGATTATACATCACTGCAATGACCACCTTGTGCTCCCCAGACTGAAGTGTATCTACTATGTAGTCTCTTTCTCCCGTCTCGTCTATGCCTTCCATTTTCTCGAATTTCCATCTGTTTTTTATGAGCAGAGCAACCGCACCTCCCCCTCTGCCCCTTCTATCTTTCCTCATGATCTGGTATCCTGGTGGGAAGATTGCATTTGTTATTGTCTCTGTGAGTTTTTTTTCTGTAACTGCTATGATGTCTGGGGACTTCTCATTGATTCTTTCTTGCCATTCCTCATGTTTATTCGTTAATCCATCCGCATTTGTGTACCAAACCTTCAACTTCTGTTCTAATACTGTAACTGTGGTGCAGGGGGTGGGAACAGAGGGATCATCGGTGTGTGATGGTTGGGTTGGATTGTTCAGTTGCTTTGGGGGTGTCGTGGCTGGAGTCCTTCTGCAGGTGTTTCTGGGGGGTGTGCTTGTCCTTCCACTTGTTCCTGGGTTATTCTGCTCTCCCTTTTTCATTTCCTCCCATTTCTCCTTTCGTTTTTGAACTCTCTCTTTCATCATCTTCCTTTCCTCCTGTGTTCTGTCTCGATCGAGGTACACACTCATGAACTCGTGTTTGCCTATCTGCCGTGCTTTCTCCTGCAGGATCATGGTTCGGGTTGATTCTGCCTTGAAAATTACTTTGAGAGGCCGATTCCTTTTCTTTGTGAACCACCCGATTCTCCGAAAATTTGCCACCTGGGTCATGTCCCCCTCGCCTATCACCTTCATGATACCTTCAATCGCTTTTTTCCCCTCCTGCTTTCTTTCATCATAAGTTTCCCCTTTAGCTTCGTCTAGCCCATAGACAAAAACTGATCTCTCCCTTTCCACCTCCCACTGTGACTCCCATTGCATCCTCTGATGTGTTTTAGTTCCTTCCTGTGGAGTGTTCCTTCCTTCAGTCCCTTCCCTAGCTATGACCCCTATGCTCATTGGTTTGTCCTTCCTGCTCCCCTGTTCCTGGTCCCCACAGGTGTCTGGTAAGGTCCCTGCATATGTCCTGGTTCCTTCAATGTCTTCCAACCTCTCATTCTGTCCTAATGTGCTCCCTGTCTTTGTTTTGGCCCCATGTGGGTTTGACAGGACCTCTGCATACAGTTTAGTTTCCATGCTCCCTTCAGACCCGTTGTCTGTGTCTGATGTAGCCATTGCTGATGCTGCTTCTGTAATATCTTTGTCTCTATGCTGTTTCAGATGTCTCAGCTCCTCTTCTAATCTCTGTATCTTGTTTTCTGCTTCTGTGGTATGTTGCTTCCACCTTCTGCATTCTGCTGCTAACCTCTCCTCCATCTTCCTTGCCAGCTCATCTAGCCTCCTTCCCCAGTCTTCCTCCCTTTTTTTGAGCTCTGCCTCCCAGTCCTCCCTCCCAGATTTGTCCTTTGGGCCCTTTGTTCTCATCCTAGTTCTGTGTGTGTGTGTGTGTGTGTGTGTGTGTGTGTGTGTGTGTGTGTGTGTGTACTCACCTAGTTCTACTCACCTAGTTGAGGTTGCAGGGGTCGAGTCCAAGCTCCTGGCCCCGCCTATTCACTGATCGCTACTAGGTCACTCTCCCTGAACCATGAGCTTTATCATACCTCTTCTTAAAGCTATGTATGGATCCTGCCTCCACTACATCGCTTCCCAAACTATTCCAGTTACTGACTACTCTGTGGCTGAAGAAATACTTCCTAATATCCCTGTGATTCATCTGTGTCTTCAACTTCCAACTGTGTCCCCTTGTTGCTGTGTCCCATCTCTGGAACATCCTGTCTTTCTCCACCTTGTCAATTCCTCTCAGTATTTTGTATGTCGTTATCATGTCCCCCTGTGTGTGGTGTGTGTGTGTTGTGTGTGTGTGTGTGTGTGTGTGTGTGTGTGTGTGTGTGTGTGTGTGTGTGTTGTTTGTGTTGTGTGTGTGTTGTGTGTGTGTGTGTGTTGTGTGTGTTGTGTGTGTGTGTTGTGTTGTGTGTGTGTTGAGTGTGTGTGTGTGTTGAGTGTGTGTGTGTTGTGTGTGTGTGTGTGTGTGTGTGTGTGTGTGTGTGTGTGTGTGTGTGTGTGTGTTGTGTGTGTGTGTGTGTGTGTGTGTGTGTGTGTGTGTGTGTGTGTGTGTGTGTGTGTGTGTGTGTGTGTGTGTGTGTGTGTGTGTGTGTGTGCGCTCGTGTGGGTGTATGACCCACTTAATATTTGTATTTATAACTCATTACAACTGTGACCAGGTGTGGACGTGTCAGTGGCTCATTACTTTGTAATTTGTTCATGACTGTAACCATGTATAGGAGTGAGGCTGATTCATTACCTTTGTAACTTGCCATGATTGTGACCAGATCCACCTGGAGTTCATTACCTTTAGATAAGATAAGATAAGATTTCGTTCGGATTTTTAACCCCGGAGGGTTAGCCACCCAGGATAACCCAAGAAAGTCAGTGCGTCATCGAGGACTGTCTAACTTATTTCCATTGGGGTCCTTAATCTTGTCCCCCAGGATGCGACCCACACCAGTCGACTAACACCCAGGTACCTATTTGCTGCTAGGTGAACAGGACAACAGGTGTAAGGAAACGTGTCGAATGTTTCCACCCGCCGGGAATCGAACCCGGGCCCTCTGCGTGTGAAGCTGGAGCTTTAGCCACCAGGCCACCGGGCCAGTTAATATAATTTTGGGATCCAGTCCCTGGACCCATTATGTACCTCTTTAATCTTTTGACTACCGCCCACAGGATGGGTATGGGGTGCATAATAAAGATATTAAACTAACTCACTCTGGGACGCTTGTCCTCATCTGTTTTGCCCGCCGGGCACTCTACGGGAGGGGCACCTGTACATCAGCTTACTTTTAACCAGCTCCATTTTTTCCGCTCTGCGGATAATTCTTTATCGGTCTTTGGTGGGAAGCTGGTTACTGAACTCGGGTAGGAGTATGGGCGTCCCTCTCTGCTGGGGCTTGGCAAGGGCGTCCACCGGATCTAATTGGAAACTTCAATTCAATTCAATTCAAGTTTATTCTCTATAATGGTTACAATGTGGGGTTTACAGGTTTTGGGTATTTTGTGGTTTACATGTTATAAAATACTAATTACAGAGGGGGCCACTAGGACACCTAGCATGGCTAGGCATTTCGAGCAGACTTAGATTAATTCTTAACATTAAATCCCAACTCCCAGCGCCACCCCATCTCTAGAGGGTACTTCTCCCCTAACCCACGATGTCAGCGATGGCACTGCAGGGAGTGCCGGGCTCACAAGAACTTCCACTACAGGGACAGCATCGTGGAGTTCGACTGCGAGGCAGCTGTCAGGTGTGCCACAGGCAGTGTGTACTCAGTTCCTCAAGCTTCAACATCCGTGCACACGAGGGCCTGGGATCTTCAGTCAACTTGGCGTCCACCAGGACGTTGCCATGTCCCTAGGACAGCTCTCCATCGGGCTGCTAACGGAGCCACTGGCTTCTTGGACCTCTTGGGGAGGGTCGATGGTGCTCGTGCAAGCAGCAGATCCCGGGGCAACTTGCTGCTGTTTGCAATGGCTGTCTGCCGAGGAGAGACAGGCACCTAGCAACATCTGTTGTTGGGGCAATGGATGAATTCCCTGCTATGTTTGTTAACTGCTCATTACTCTGTAATTTGTCTATGATTGTAATCATGTGATAACGTGTTTATCATTCATTACCTTTGAAACTTGTCATGATTTTGACCAGCTCTACCTGGAGCTCATTACCTTTGTAAATTCTCATGATTAATGTGTTTATGATTCATTACCTTTGCAATTATTCATGAGTGTGACCAGCTCTACCTGGAGCTCATTACCTTTGTAACTTGGTCATGATTATGACCAGATCTAGTTCATTACCTTTGTAACTTGCTCTGTTACTACCGCCGACTACCGCCCACAGGATGGGTATGGGGTGCATAATAAACATATTAAACTTAAACTAACATTAAATCCTTACAGATTATGTTTCTCTGTTTACAAAGGAACTTTTGTTTCTTTTCTCTCATCGCCCAGCCTCGGGCAACAAATCTTCCTGGTACCATCGAGAAGTCGGGCTGGATACGGCTTATGCTGTCAGTGGCCCTGATAAACCCAACAACAACAACATTAACTGTGAAAAGCGGTAGTTATTTTAGTCCCTTTAAAGTCCCGGTTTTCATTGTAATGTGTTATTTTAAGTGAGTAGTTAGAACAAAAATTATAGTACACAGTAGGTGACTGTGAATGTAACAATGCACCCTAATGGAAATAAGTCACTGACTTTTTTTGGGTTATCCTAGGTAATTATACATATTCTCCCCTCAAGGGAGGTTCCTTGGCGCTGGTGAGGGGCTCTTGATCTACGGAATTAGATATGTGCTCCGGTTCCCAGAATTGAGTCTGAAGACCTTCCACCCTCCCCCCACATGCGCTGTATAATCCAACGGGTTTAGCGCTCCCCATGATAATAATAATAATAATAATAATATACATATTCTGATCTGTATGATAATTTATGTAACTGTATTTATGTATACCTGTACCTGAATAAACTTACCAGCAAGTTGATCAGTAAGACACATATGTAAGTTAGGTATCTATTCTGAACCGTTTCGCCTACACAGAGGCGGCAGCAGAAGCAGTGGAGATGTAAAGATGATAGAATCAGTCCATCACCCTCGAAGACGTTGTTTTGAGGTAGTCAGTCAGCCTGGAGAAGAGTACTTCTTAGTCTTCACCTCTTCAGGCTGCAGGAATGACCACCTCAAAATTAAGTCTTTAAGGGTGAACTGATTATATCGTATTAACATCTCCACTGCTTTTGTTGCCTCCTCTGTATTGTCTTTTCATAAGTCTTTCAATAATATTTCTTGAATGCTCAGACTTTTTCCTTTGCTGTATAATTCTTAGTTTCTCTTGTCCTCTTTATATTTATTATACAAATGCACAAAACATATGAAAACTATATCCCTACATTCTTTCTTAATCCAGTGTATCCCCCTAACACAGAAATGCATATTTCATTGGGATCAAAAGGCAGTTTTCTCCCTGACATAGACAGGGATTATTACATGTTTGTCTCTCATAAGCTAATTGTGATCAAGTTGCTGCTGAATATGCTTTTAAATATAGCCTTACTTGTAAATATATCTTTACAGTATTTTAATGTGAAGTTGAGTTTACTACAGCCAGATAGGTTGCCATGTTTTGTTTGAATATCTGTAACTACTGTTGCCCACAGTTTGTTTTTTTATGACAATCTTTCTTGAACACTCCTAGTGTCAGTTACATTGCAAGACCCTTAACTTTTTCTGGGCATCAGAGCATAACTTGTCTGTTTAATGCATTGAGTTTTACTTAGGCTATTGCAATATATTATAATATTTTTTTTAATAACAGTGTTTTCAGTAATTATTCATCTTTTACATATGTAGTTTTTACCTTCAGAAAATAGCTGGCAATTGTGACTTATCTTACAAACCACAAGATGCTTCGCCAGTATGCCATCACTGGTGTAGCAGCTGGTAGAAGGATACTCCCTGAGCACAAAGTTTGGGGATCAAGTTTTTACTCACTTTATGGAACAACATCCTGTTTATGCAATAAGGAATGCAGGTTTAGAACAAATTTACCTTACAGCACAAAATCATCCACACCATTTCCTTTACAGTCACAGGTATGTAGCATTGTAATACTGTAACAGTGTTTTTTTTGTGTGTATATAGTTTCAGCAGGAATAATTGATCTTAGTACAGGGAGAAAGGAGAAGTAGCAGGCAGTAGGAGCTGGGATGGAGGAGATAATGGTGTTGGTTGTAAATTGATCAAAATGGTCTAAAGCTGAAGGTGAGGTCTTCAGTTTACACTCACTTCCTCATTTACAGCCTGCATAGAACTGATAAAGGATTTAAATTACTAGAAATGCTTCAGTGTGTGTTGGAGTGAAAGAGACAGAGAGAGAGAGAGAGAGCGAGAGAGAGAGAGAGAGAGAGAGAGAGAGAGAGAGAGAGAGAGAGAGAGAGAGAGAGAGAGAGAGAGAGAGAGAGAGAGACGATAATTTTTTTTTTTTAACGCATTGGCTGTTTCCCACCGAGACAGGGTGACCCAAAAAGAAAGAAAAAATCCAAAAAGAATGAAAAAAAGAAGAAAAAACCTAAAAATAAAGAAAAAACTTCCATTGTTCAACACTTTCACTAGCATTCATACATAATCACTGTCTTTGCAGAGGTGCTTAGATACAATAGTTTAGCTGTCACTCCAAACAGCCAATATCCCAAACCCCTCCTCTAAAGTGTAGGCATTGTATTTCCCACCTCCAGGACTTGAGCCTGGCTAACCAGTTTCTCTGAATCCCTTCACAAAATATTACCCTGCTCATACTCCAGCAGCACATCAGGTCCCCAGAACTGTTCATCTCCAGTCACTCCTATCTAATATGCTCATGTATGCTTACTGGAAGTCCAAGCCTCTTGCCCACAAAACCTCCTTTACACCCTCCCTCCAACCTTTCCTAGGATGACCTCTACCCCACCTTCCTTCTACTACAGATTTATACACTCTCCAAGTCATTCTACTTTGTTCCATCCTCTCTAAATGACCATACCACCTCAACAACTCTTCAGCCCTCTGACTAATCCTTTTAGTAACTCCACACCTCCTAATTTCCACACTACGAATTCTCTGCATAATATTTACACCACACATTGCCCTTAGACATGATATCTCCACTGCCTCCAGCCTCCTCCTTGCTGCAGCATTTACAACCCATGCTTCACACCCATATAAGAGTGTTGGTATGGCTATACTCTTGTACATTCCCTTCTTTGCCTCCATGGATAATGTTTTTTGCCTCAAAGCACCCCTCACCTTTTTTCCCTTATCAGTTTTGCAGTTAACTTGGTCTTTCATAAACCCATCTGCTGACAAGTCAGCTCCCAGATATCTGAACACATTCACTTCTTCCGTACTCCCTCCCTCCAATGTGATATCCAATTTTTCTTAATCAAAATCGTTTGAAACCTTTATCACCTTAGTGTTATTTATGTTCACTTTCAACTTTCTTCTTTCGAACACCCTCCCAAACTCATCCACTAACTTTTGCAACTTTGCTTTAGAATCTCCCAAAAGCACAGTATCATTGGTAAAAAATAACTGTGTCAACTCCCATTTTGTATTTGATTCCCCATAATTTAATCCCACCCCTCTCCCCAACACCATAGCATTTACTTCTTTTACAACCCCTTCTATAAATATGTTAACCATGCTGACATTGCACATCCCTGTCTAAGGCCTACTTTTACTGGGAAATAATCTCCCCCTCTCTCCTACACACCCTAATCTGAACCTCACTATCCTCATAACTCTTTACAGAATTTAGTAACTTACTACCTATCCTATACACTTGCAGCATCTGCCACATTGCTCCTCTATCCACCCTATCATATACCTTTTCTAAATCCATAAATGCAGTGAAAACTTCCCTACCTATATCTAAATACTGGTCACATACATAAATGCTTCATTGCAAACATCCCTACCCATTCTCAAACCTCCTTGTTCATCTGCAGTCCTGCTCTCTATCTTACTTCTAATTCTTTCAGTAATAACCCTACCATACACTTTACCTGGTATACTCAGTAAACTTATTCCCCTATAATTTTTACAGTCTCTTTTGTCCCCCTTCCCTATGTATAAAGGAACTGTACATGCTCTCTGTCATTCCCTGGGTACCTTTACTTCTTTCATACATTTATTGAACAAAAATACCAACCGCTCCAACACTATATGCCCCCCTGCTTTTAACATTTCTATCATGATCCCATCAGTTCCAGCTGCTCTACCTCCTTTCTTTTTATGTTATGCCTCATGCACCTCCCCCACACTCACATCCGGCTCTTCTTTACTCCTAAAAGATGTTATACCTCCCTGGCCAGTGCATGAAATTGCTGCTTCCTTCCCTTCATCAACATTTCAGTGTTCCTCATGATGATATATATGTGGAAAATACTCAAAAGTCTATTCCCAAATCTGCACACTGCCATAACAACATGCTGGGATGAGAGATATGGAAGCAAATGCAAAATAAACCCAATGAAAAATAAGAGTGCCATGGGCACAGGAAGAGAGTATTGTATCGACATTCGTGATTGCAGGCTATGCAACATCTTACCAGAAAATATCAGAAATCCTGGTGGGACAAGTGTAGAAATCATCGAGGAAACTGGACAAGTATCTCCTCAAGGTGCCAGATTAACCAGTCTGTTATGGATATGATCCAGTGGTCCACCAGCAACAACAGCCTGGTTGACCAGGCAAGCACCAGACAAGTTAGGCTCTGAGAGTAAGAAAAACTCACAAAACTCATCAAAGGCATATTAAAGGTATATAAAGGTATACAACAGGACATTAGCTGATGGGGCAGTGTATAACAAAGTATCCTTTGATAAAATGTGCAAAGCACACAAGTTATCCACTCAAGATAAATTTGGGGCTTAATTACAGGGAGTGAAACTGCTCAACAAATGGAAAATATTATGGCTATTGGTATATGGAATACTGTATTCTCTTTAAACTAGAGGCATGTTTTATTGCCAAGAGTTTTTAAAATAGTGGAAAAAAGTTTGAAGGAATGCAGAATTGGTTAGGTGGAATAAAATTCTAAAAGTGAAAAGTACAGGACCTGCACTCTAAAGAATAGGCGGGGATATTGTATTACAAAAGGTCATTTGGATTGTGATGTCTGAAGAATGGGTGGGGACATCTCATTACAAAAGGTCATTTGGATTGTGGTGTCCATGCACTTTTGACAAGACATTTAGATAAATGATGGTAAATGTGTTTCCTTCTTTGGGGTTACCTGATCATGGAGTGAAATGGTCAATAAATAAACAAAAAAAAAAAAAATAAGGAAAAGTAGATAAAACATAAAAATCTGCTAATAGTCAGAATAGTTTGACTACAGAGAAGCAAGAGTCAGTACTGTAGTACAGTGGACCCCCGGTTAACGATATTTTTTCACTCCATAAGTATGTTCAGGTGCCAGTACTGACCGAATTTATTCCCACAAGGAATATTGTGAAGTAGATTAGTCCATTTCAGACCCCCAAACATACACGTACAAACGCACTTACATAAATACACTTACATAATTGGTCGCATTCGGAGGTAATCGTTATGCGGGGGTCCACTGTATATCCAAAATATTAAACTACGTACTGTACAGTATTAGAATAAGAGTTAGAAATATTACACAGGATCAAAACAGGTAAGCAGACTGTACTTATAGGACAAGTTATGTGCACCTGTAGGCTGCTAGCACAACCAGCTTGGCTGACAGGTGGTCAAGAGAGAGAGAGAGAGAGAGAGAGAGAGAGAGAGAGAGAGAGAAGCCTAGTCTCAGGTTGGGCTGTGGGGGTGAAGAGCCCTCAAACGTGGTCACTGGTAAATTGTCAATATTATTGTGTATCATTTCTTCTTATTTAAGTTGCTGTTTTAATATGTACAGAGTTTTGGTACTTAAAATAAACTTATTTTCATATAATTTAATTATCATATATGTACTTAACCCAGGTAGTAGGTTGGTAGACAGCAACTGCCCCGCCCAGGGAGGTACTACCATCCTGCCAAGTGAGTGTAAAACGAAAGCCTGTAATTGTTTTATATGATGGTAGGATTGCTGGTGTCCTTTTTTCTGTCTCATGAATATGCAAGATTTCAGGTACGTCTTGCTAATTCTACTTACACTTAGGTCACACTACACATACATGTACAAGCACATATATACACACCCCTCTGGGTTTTTTTCTATTTTCTTTCTAGTTCTTATTCTTGATTATTTCCTCTTATCTCCATGGGGAAGTGGAACAGAATTCTTCCTCTGTAAGCCATGCATGTTGTAAGAAGCGACTAAAATGCTAGGAGCAAGGGGCTAGTAACCTCTTCTCCTGTATACATATATTACTAAATGTAAAAGGAGAAACTTTCGTTTTTCCTTTAAGGCCACCCCGCCTCGGTGGGATACGGCCTGTGTGTTGAAAGAAGAAGAAAGATATGTACTTAGCTTTTAAATATTATGATTTCAAATACATATACAGTGTCAAGTAGTTTTAAATGTTAGTTTTAGTCTATCAGAAATGTTCTTCATAATCAGGGTTAGTAGTTATCATACTTGATGTTAAACATTCAAATTTCATCTGTACACATTTTGAATTTTGTTGGGTGTTCATTCATGTCAGGACAATCATGTGTGTGTTTTCCTGCTCTGTATTCTTATAACTTAATACTGTGGCACCCCGGTTTTCGTCCTTTATCCGTTCCAGGTCAGTCGAAATCCGAAATGGACAAAAACCAAAGTACAATAATATTCCCCATGAGAAATGATGTAAATCCAATTAATCCATTCCAGACACCGAAAAATATTAACAAAAAATACATTTTATAGAGAATAACTATAATTTTACATACAGAAAACAATGAGAAATAATTGTAAAGCACTAATTTTAATGGATAAATGAACACTTAAATCACTATTACATACCTTTATTGAAGACTCTTGTTGATCCACACCAACAACAACTTCTCCACATCGTCAATTGTTTGTGATCTCTGTTTCCTTAGCATATTTACCCCTTTTGCAATATCAGCTTCCTTGATTTTTACTTTCTTCACCAGGATGGAACTGATTGTTGATTTGGACTTCCCATACATCCTGGTGAGCTCGGCCACATGTACGCCACTTTTGTATTTTGATACAAGCTCTTTCTTGAATTCTATCGTGTTTCTCACTTTCTTTACCAAAGGGCTGGCACTCTGAACTTTCTTTGGACCCATGGTGGCTTATTTCACAGCTGCACTCAATAAAGAAGCACCAAAAATACTTGTTGAATGTGCAGAGTATTGTTCACTCGACAAGTGACGGAGGCAGACCGAGTCAGGCCGCGGCATCCTGGGCGGGGAGACGCGTCTGATACGGACAATTTCTGAGTTGATGAACGAAACCTGGAGTAAAAACTCGCTGGAAAGAGTGGTTGAAATCTGAATTGTACGATATTTGGACCGGACGAAAAGCAGAGTTTTACTGTACGTATTCGTAGTTCTTGGGAATCACAGATTTCGGAAATCATAGGGATATTTCCGTATAAACATGGGCTCGCTAATCATAGGTTGACTCGCGAATAGTAGTTCGTCCGGAACGCGTACACACGGTGTGAGCCGGGGCGGCCTCCCTACCCAGCCAGTCTGGCATTGTTTACCAGTGAGCGAAGGTCCCCTCACGTGCTCCTACGAAATATTTCATAATATTCCACTCATTTTAGTGCTTGCAAGTACTAAATAAGCTACCATGGCTCCAAAGAATGCTCCTAGTGCCAAGCCTGTGGTAAAGAGGGTGTGGAAGAGTTGGTGGAAGACCACAACGAAGAGCTCACCACTGAGGAGCTGCAAGAGCTTCGGCAGGAACAGCAACAGATCGCAGCTCAGAATCTTGCTGCAGAGGAGGAGGAAGAGAGATGGAAGAAGGTGCCTTCTTCAGAAATTAAAGAGATTTTTGCTATGTGGGGTAAGATGGAAAGCTTTATGGAGAAACATCACCCTGACAAGGTTGTTGCAAGCCATGTTGGCAACATGTACAGTGACAAAGTCTTGGGCCATTTTAGGGAAGTGTTAAAGAGACGCCAGAAACAGAGCTCTCTCCACAGTTATTTTGCGAGACAGGACTCCAGTGACTCTCAAGGTGGTCCTAGTGGCATTAAGAAACAGAGAAGAGAAGCAACCCCAGAAAAGCAATTGGTACCTGAGGTGTTGATGGAAGGGGATTCCCCTTCCAAACTGTAAACAATCCAATCTCTCTCCTCCTCCAGTCTCCCATACACTAAGAAGAATCTCCAATAAAGGTAAGTGTTATACTGTTAATGTTTCATTCATCATTTCCCATTGTATTGTTTATGTACTACATCTATATTTCATGTAAAAATTTTTTTTGTTTTAATACTTCTGGGTGTCAGGAATGGATTAATTGTATTTACATTATTTCTTATGGGGAAAATTGATTCGAAAATCGTAGATTTCGATAATGGTGGCAACTCCAGGAATGGATTAACTACGAAAAATGAGGGACCACTGTAAATGGGTTATGTATATTATTGAAGGGTTAGTTTTTCCTCCTATATTATATAACTCTTTTTCAGGTTGTAATTTGTGGAGCTGGTCTAGTGGGAAACAGCATAGCTTATCACTTGACTCGTGAAGGCTGGACTGATGTTGTTGTACTGGATCAAAATGAGTAAGTTATGCTTTTAACAGTTTGTGTCTTATATTCATTTTCTGAATACTGCTTGAAACCATGCCTGCCTAGGAATGGTTACCCAAACAACAAAATACAGTTGTCTTTCCAGAAGTGTACTGACACCACACCACTTCTGGATCTTGATAAGTAAGTAAGTAAGTAAGTTTATTCAGGTATACACAAATACAGTTACATAGAATTATCATACATAGCAGCATATGTGTAGAGAACCTAGGATAACCCAAAAAAGTCAGACAGAGTGACTTATTTCCATTGGGGTCCTTTTACCTTATTATTATAATATAAAGGTTATAATATTTTCTTATTATTCTATAATGAAGATAACATCTTATTATCATACTAAAAAGACTATCTACTACACGAGGGTCATTAAGACTATCTACAATACGGGGTCATTACTAGGAATAAGGTAAAATTTACACGTATGTTAGATAAAAAATAGAAAATCATTCCCCTCCCTTTCTGTAGCTACATTCATCAGACACCTTTTGGCACTCTTCTTGAACTGGTTCATGCTATGACTGGCTTTGACATGTGCGGGTAGTCTGTTCCATTCCTTTATTGCTGTACAATAAAAGGTGTTTGAAGCCTGGCCAATGACTGTGGGTACTACAAAGTTGTGCTCTCTCCCCCTAGTACTATGATTGCTTTGGTTCCCAACCTTGACAAAATTGACAGTAAGATATTCTGGACACTGTTTGTGAGCAATTTTATGAACATGATTTAGCTTCAGTTGTTTTACTCTGTCTTCAACATTCAGCATATCCAACTGCTGTAATTCATCCTGGCCTACATGTTCTCTTGGTCCCAGCCCCAGGATGAATCTTACGATTTTGTTCTGGGTGATTTGCAGTCTATCTTTCAGTTTTCTTGTCAAGGCAGAGTACCAAGAAGAGCAAGCGTAATCCATATGGCATTGTATAAGGGCTAGACATAGGGTCCTGCGAGCCTCAGTAGGTAGACACTGTGCTTGTCTATACAGGAACTTCAGTCTGGCATTCGCTTTCTTTACTACACTGTTTCCCTATCAATTCTCCTGACATGCATGGGTCAAAGGGATTCCCAAATATTTTACTGATGAAACCAAAGTGATGGGCTCCCCATTACATTGAACATTAAAGTTATTTACCCTTCTCAGTTTATGTTTCGTGCCAAAGAGAATGGCTTCAGTTTTCCCCTAGGTGTAATGATAGTTTGTTGTCTACTAACCATTTGCTGCAGGACTCCAGTTCCAGTGTTAAAACATTAGCAATATCTTGTGAGTCTTTACCTGACACTAACAGAGCACTGTCATCTGCATACAGTAGGAGTTTGCACTTGACACTTATAGGCATATCATTGACATAACATAAGAATAATAAGGGACCCAGAATACTACCTTGGGGAACTCCACATGTTATCGGCAGGGGTTCTGATTCTGTTTTGTTGATTTTGACTATTTGTCTCCTGTTGCTAAGGTAGGACTTAAACCAGTCTACAGAACCTATACCGATAGCTTGAAGTTTATTACATAATATATTGTGGTTGACAGTATCGAAGGCCTTTTGCAGGTCTAAGGTTACCATACCTATGAGGTTCCCCTTTGACATTTCAGTTCTCAGGTAATCCATCAGATTAATAAGGGAGGTGTCGGTTGAGTAGGATCTTCTAAAGCCCGATTGATAGCTATGGAGAATGTTGTTGTCATTAAGGTACTTAACTACTTGAGAATACACCGCCCTCTCTAGAATTTTAGATATTATACTGAGTATACTAACAGGCCTATAGTTGCTTACATCAGGCCTACTATTTTTCTTGAAGATAGGAGTAACTCTGGCCTCCTTGAACCCCTCCGGTACGGTATTAGTGGTGATTGATAGATTTATTATGTGAGCAATAGGGATTGACAGTTCAGAAGCACCATCTTTTAGGAACTTAGATGGTTATTTCTTGATGTAATCTTTTATACTTAGCCAAAAATTATCACTGTCCTTTTTCTTCCATTTATTTTAACCCTTTGACTGTTTTAGTCGTATATATACGTCTTATGAGATACCGTGTTTGAACTATATATACTCATAAATTCTAGCGGCTTCAAATCAAGCAGGAGAAAGCTGGTAGGCCCACATGTGAGAGAATGGATCTGTGTGGTCAGTGTGCACCATTTAAAAAAAATCCTGGAGCATGCAGTGCATAATGAGAGAAAAAAAACTCCGACCAATTTTTTTTTAATTAAAATGCCAACTTTGTGGTCTATTTTCATATAGTATTTATGGTTATATTCTCGTTTTCTTGGTCTCACTTGATAGAATGGAAAACATATTATAGAAATAGAGGTGATTTTGATTGGTTTTACTATAAAAAGAACCTGGAAATAGAGCTCAAAGTAGGGGAAATGTGTGATTTTTGCCGATGTTCAAAAGTAAACAAATGATGTCATTGTCCAATAAATGTCCAACTAGCCATTCTAATATGCAGTCATGAATGGGTTGACATTATTTGTACAACTATTACAATATTGCTGTAGTCTGCAAAACAGTAAATCTTCTATTTTTTGTTTGAATAAAAATTCAAAATAGAAAGCAAAAGTAATATCAGAGGGGCCTGGAGATGTGACTGATAAACAAAGAAAATGTTATTTTAGAGCCAGGAATGTCTGCATTGTTCATTCTGGACCTTATTTTGAAAATGTCATATTTTTTAATTTTCGTGAAATTGGCCAAATTGCAAATTTCTGACCACGTTATTGGGTAGTTGAAATCGGTAAATAGGCAGTTTATTGAACTCAAGTGATAGGAAAAAACGGAGTTCTAAAGAAATAGCTATGAGTTTGGTCGACTGGAACAATGGAATTAGCCGAAAATAGGGCTCAAAGTGGGCGAAATTGCCAGTTTGCAAATATTGCCGAGGTCGCTAACTTCAGGAGAGCGTAATTCCATCAGTTTTCCTTCAAATTTCGTTTTTTTTTGTGTCATTACAATCGGGAAAAGATTCTCTATCATTTCATAAGAAAAAATAATTTTTTTTTTTAAATTTTGCGACACCAAGAGACACCTCAGGATTGGGGGTTGCGACAGCCAAGGGGTTAATAATACGCTATTAGTTGTCTCCTATTCAATTCTGAGTTTATATTAGCCTTAATGGTCATTGCGTTTCCCTTTTCTTCTTTTTTCAACATCTGTACTCTGACTGCATTTGTATAGTACACACTCCCATATCTCTTATTACATCAGCTCAAGAAACCAAATTGATAAATTTAGATAAAACTTTTATAATGTAGTCCGTATGCAGTATTATAGAAACCCAGTTTTCTTTGTTTTCATCTTATGACAGAATTGGATCTGGAACATCTCACACTGGGTCAGGTGTCTTGGGAGTGTTCAAACCATCTGCAGAAAGGCAGATTGTTACATATTCTGTCAACCTGATCAAAAGATTGCAGGATGAAGGTCATGATTTAGGTTTGTATTATTTTATTAAAGTTTTAATTAAATGACCTGTATATATTTTGTTATATGCAGCATGACTGAACTTGTACTTTCTATTTTCATGTTACATGAACTGCTAATAGGAATAACTATGTATGTGTATAAAAAATAAATAGTAACCTATTTGTAAAACCTCTGTTACACTAGTAATAGACTGTTGAATCACTTTTACTCAGTCTTGCATACCTGTGCTTCCTTTGCTGCTCTATGACATAGGCCTCCAACTTCATTTGGCTATCTGTCTAAGTTCAGTCAAAACCTCGATAACATATCGATCATTAATCATTTATGTGGGCATTCAATTTGCTCCTCCATCATTGGAGACAGTGATTGGCATTCCCACTGTTTGTCACATTGTGTTTAAGCAAGATAGATGACTTGTTCAGTTTTTAGCTTGATCTACAGTGGGTTTAAATGGGGCTTGCTCATATAGTGCCACAGATGTTATTTTAGTGGCTCATGTGACTTTTTTTTGTTCTTCCACTGTTTCAGCTTGGCTGTTTGCCATATCCATGTCTAGTGATGGTTCCCATTTGCTAACTTCCTAATCACAAGCTGGCATAAACACACTCCCATACCTTGTCTGAGCATTTTATGAGACATTGTGACTCAAATAAATTTTCATTTGGATCATTCTGATGAACAGGTAGACATTATTTGCAGTCAAGGTCCTGGTAATATTACTTCTGGGATGGGACCTACAAAGTTCTGGTTGGACATTTATCAGGCCAACTGTTCCTTGATTTCAGTTCAGGAAACAAAAGCTATTTATCAATAGAATTTGACTTTCCAGAAACTGTTACTGAGGATTAATACCTGTCCAATCTTTGAGAATTTCCCTGGCCCAATTCCAAGGAACTTGGCCTCCTCACAAGTTTGACTTTCCCTCATAGTCCCTGCATAGAAGACTCTAACACACTTTTGTGCCAACTTTGTCACACTTTTATGACATCGTATTTCTTTTTCTTTCAACAAATCGACTATCCCACTGAAGCAGGGTGGCCCAAAAAGAAAAACAAAAGTTTCTCTTTTTAAATTTAGTAATTTGTACAGGAGAAGGGGTTACTAGCCCCTTGCTCCTGGCATTTTAGTCCTCTCTTACGACATGCATGGCTTATGGAGGAAGAATTCTTTTCCACTTCCCCATGGAGATAAGAGGAAATAAATAAGAACAAGAACTAATAAGAAAATAGAAGAAATCCCATGGGTGTGTGTGTGTGTATATATATGCTTGTACAGTGGTACCTCAAGTTACGAACTTAATTTGTTCCAGAAGGCTGTTCCAGTGCCGATACCGAACAAATTTGTTCCCATAAGGAATAATGTAAATTAGATTAGTCTGTTTCAGACCCCCAAAAATACACTTACAAAAGCACCTGCAAAAATACACTTACATAATTGTTCGAGTTGGGAGCTGTTTGAAACTTGAGGTACCACTGTACGTACATGCATGTGTAGTGTGACCTTAGTGTAAGTAGAAGTAGCAAGACATACCTGAAATCTTGCATGTTTATGAGACAAAAAAGACACCAGCAGTCCTACCATCATGTAAAACAATTACAAGCTTCCATTGTACACTCACTTGGCAGAACGGTAGTACCTCCCTGGGCAGTTGCTCTCCACCAACCTACTACCTAGGACGTCATATTTGTATAGACTTATTTTTTCATAAAATTTTGTTAAAGCAATCTTTAGTTTGCTGGAAATGTGAAGGTCACCATTCCTTCTACTACTACGTGTATGCAGCTAAACATTCTACTTTGTTTTTGATAAGTTGACATCATAGCAACTTGATTCCATTATTGGGATGCATTCCTAGCACACGAAAGGTGTATCTTTTCTAGTGTGACTGGTGTCAACATATGTTCCACTAAACCTTATTTTATGCCTTGGGACAGCCATGGCTGGTCAATGAATTTATGTAGTATGCATAAGTCTACAACAGTTTCCAGTCTTCTCTTTCATGGAGTCCCTCATTTGCAATTCCCTCATCATCTCTTCCAATAATTTTACTTAATTTCATCATCAAAACAAGGAATTTTCTATTAAGTCTTACTCCTTCATTGGCCCAGCACACTCATTCCATCTCAAGGGAAAAAAAAAATTGTGCTCCAAGGGAAAAAATGTTTTGTTCTACTTACGACAAGGTTTCTCAAGTGAAGGAGATCACAGAACACACTTTAGAGGTTCCATAGGATTCCCTTACAGGGCAAATTTTCTAGGGACAGGTAATGGAAGTCATGTTGGAGCCAATTTCCCAAGGTCTTAAGTTGTTTTTCATAAGAACCGAAACCTTACCATCACTGTCATGTCATGTTGATCAGAGAGACCAATATGCCCTATTTTACCTATTGTGTAAGGTGTCTCCAGTGATGACATTGTCTGCAGAGTACATGATTCTCTTTGAAAAAAATTTCTCTTATTTTCATCATCCACATTGGAAAACTTTTCTGTATCCTTGATCTGAAGGATATCCTTGATCTGGAGGATATAAATCATTGATATGCTAAGTAAAATGTAATGATAGTCTTCTTACATACATACATACATACATACAGTAAGACTTATTATAGTCCCACCTCCATAGGTTTTAAACAGTGTGGCAGTTTAAACCTGGCTCAGACAAGAGAGAGAACTATTGCTCTGAAACGAAGGCTTGCATACTCTAAGCCATCTGGACTTGAATGTGAGGTAAGTTGTGTCTAGTGTAGTTCACAAAGATTTATAGTGCTTGCTGCCATATTAAGTTAACTCAAAAGTAAAAATGACATAATTAGATTAAAAACCACATTAATTAAATCCATGTTTAGGAAGAAGACTTTTGGGATAACAGAATGTCAGATGTGTGACTGTGACACTGGAGTGAAAATGTTAGTATTCGGCTTGCTGTTTTAATGTATGCTCAGTGGATCTACATTTTCTGTTCAGGGTTCAGATTTTTCTCTGTTGTGTATTATTGTATTTATTGGCATTATGGCATTTTATAATTGGCTATATTTTGTTTATAGATGACATTCTAAGCAAACCTAACCTAAATAATGTATATTGAGAAATTTACTTAAAATTGCATGTGAGAATATGTTTGCTTCAATAGGCCAGGTTGCATTTGTGGGCTTTAAACCATTTGTATACTAGTTAGGTTTTGAATAAAGTGACTTTTGTATTTTGTTACATTTTGTCCCTTAACCAGTTAATGTTTAAGAGTATTGTTGATACCAGTTTTGTGTGTGATTACCTACAGTGTTTGCTAACCTGTTTGTAGCTGAAAAGCAGAGCTGTGATTTTGGTGTTTGATCTTCAGTGTTTAATTTGTCATTTATTTGTTTGAAGTTTCCATTCGTAGAAAATACTACCTCATAAATTCTATTCCTAGATTGTATCATTTTTTTCTCAATTTACAGTTGTCTTCATATTCTCCATGTTCATTCTAATAAAAAGTGATCTGTATATTTATTAATTTGTCCCTTCAGAAGATGTACAGTAGGGCCCCACTTATTCGGCAGGTTAGGTTCCAGGCTACTGCCGGAAAGCAGACTTCGCCGGAAAACAGAACTCCATTTTTTCCATTTATAAATGCATATAAATGCCAGATAACAAGTTTACACTAACATATATTAAGTTAGCAATAGAACTAGGCATTAAAAAGTAAAATAGACACACAGTACACTCGTTATCTACCTCAAAATATTTGTAGTCTTAATGTAGGGCAAAAGGTGAATAGTATTTACTCTAAGAAGTCAGGTGTGGTAGCCCTCCTGGCCACCCCACCCACGCATACTATACCACAATGCTTAAAGCTCCCTAAAGCAATAAAATGGATATACAGTACACGCATTACTTACCTTAAAATATTTGTAGTCTTAATGGTCTTAATGTAGGGTGAGGGGTGAAAAGCATTTATTTGTAGAAAGTCGTTTGGGAGGTATGGCATCTTGCCTGGCCACTTACACCTACTATGACATTAAGCTCCCTAGAGCGATAAAATGCATATATAGTACATTCATTAATTTTTTTTTTTTTTTTTTTTTTTTTTTTCAACAAGTCGGCCGTCTCCCACCGAGGCAGGGTGACCCAAAAAAGAAAGAAAATCCCCAAAAAGAAAATACTTTCATCATCATTCAACACTTTCACCACACTCGCACATTATCACTGTTTTTGCAGAGGTGCTCAGAATACAACAGTCTAGAAGCATACACATATAAAGATACACAACATATCCCTCTAAACTGCTAATATCCCGAACCCCTCCTTTAGAGTGCAGGCATTGTACTTCCCATTTCCAGGACCCAAGTCCGGCTATATAAAAATAACCGGTTTCCCTGAATCCCTTCACTAAATGTTACTCTGCTCACACTCCAACAGATCGTCAGGTCCCAAATACCATTCGTCTCCATTCACTCCTATCTAACATGCTTTCACACGCTTGCTGGAAGTCCAAGCCCCTCGCCCACAAAACCTCCTTTACCCCCTCCCTCCAACCTTTTTGAGGACGACCCCTACCCCGCCTTCCTTCCCCTACAGATTTATATGCTCTCCATGTCATTCTACTTTGATCCATTCTCTCTAAATGACCAAACCACCTCAACAACCCCTCTTCAGCCCTCTGACTAATACTTTTATTAACTTCACACCTTCTCCTAATTTCCACACTCCGAATTTTCTGCATAATATTTACACCACACATTGCCCTTAGACAGGACATCTCCACTGCCTCCAGCCGCCTCCTCGCTGCTGAATTCACAACCCAAGCTTCACACCCATATAAGAGTGTTGGTACTACTATACTTTCATACATTCCCTTCTTTGCCTCCATAGAAAACGTTTTATTGTCTCCACATATACCTCAATGCACCACTCACCTTTTTTCCCTCATCAATTCTATGATTAACCTCATCCTTCATAAATCCATCCGCTGACACGTCAACTCCTAAGTATCTGAAAACATTCACTTCTTCCATACTCCTCCTCCCCAATTTGATATCCAATTTTTCTTTATCTAAATCATTTGATACCCTCATCACCTTACTCTTTTTCTATGTTCACTTTCAACTTTCTACCTTTACACACACTCACAAACTCATCCACTAACCTTTGCAATTTTTCTTTAGAATCTCCCATGAGCACAGTATCATCAGCAAAAAGCAACTGTGTCAATTCCCATTTTGTATTTGATTCCCCATAATTTAATCCCACCCCTCTCCCGAACACCCTAGCATTTACTTCTTTTACAACACCATCTATAAATATATTAAACAACCATGGTGACATTACACATCCCTGTCTAAGACCTACTTTTACCGGGAAGTAATCTCCCTCTCTTCTACACATCCTAACCTGAGCCTCACTATCCTCATAAAAACTCTTTACAGCATTTAGTAACTTACCACCTATTCCATATACTTGCAACATCTGCCACATTGCTCCCCTATCCACTCTATCATATGCCTTTTCTTAAATCCATAAATGCAATAAAAACTTCCCTACCTTTATCTAAATACTGTTCACATATATATTTCAATGTAAACACTTGATCTACACATCCCCTACCCACTCTGAAACCTCCTTGCTCATCCGCAATCCTACATTCTGTCTTACCTCTAATTCTTTCAATTACAGTGGAGCCCCGGTTCGCGATATTAATCCGTTCCTGAGAGCTCATCGTAAACCAAAATTATCGGAAAGCGAATCAATTTTCCCCATAAGAAATAATGGAAATCAAATTAATCCGTGCAAGACACCCAAAAGTATGAAAAAAAAAACTTTTACCACATGAAATATTAAGTTTAATGCAATAGAATAATTACAATAACAACAATAAGAATGGAATAATAACAATCGAATAATTGACACTTACCTTTCATGAAGATCTGGTGATGATTGATGGGATGGGAGGAGGGGAGTGTGTTGAACCTATTGTTTAGAAGGGGAATCCCCCTCCATTAGGACTTGAGGTAGCTTTTCCTGCTGAGTAATGTAGGTCCTGCTTGGCAATTTCTTCCAAAACTGGCCTGTTTTGTCACAATTAAACACTTGTTCAGGTTTCAATCCTTCAGCCTCTATGTACTCCTTGAATTCATGTACATATTTTTCAGCCGCTTTGTGGTCTGAACTGGCAGCCTCACCATGCCTAATCACACTATGTATGCCACTACGATTCTTAAATCTTTCAAACCAACCTTTGCTGGCCTTAAATTCACTCACATCACTTGTTGCAGGCAATTTCTTTACCAAATCGTCATGCAACTGCCTAGCCTTTTCACAAATGATTGCTTGAGAAATGCTATCTCCTGGTATCTGTTTTTCATTTATCCACACCAATAACAGTCTCTCAACATTTTCTAACACTTGCGGTCGCTGTTTCGTAATCACAGTTGCACCTTTTGCAAGAACAGCTTCCTTGATTGCCATTTTCCTGCTCACTGTAGTAGAGATGGTTGAGTGGGGTTTACTATACAACCTGACCAGCTCTGATACATGCACTCCACTTTCATACTTTGCAATTATCTCTTTCTTCATTTCAATAGTCATTAGCACCCTTTTTCTCGAAGGGTTGGCACTAGAAGCTTTCTTGGGGCCCATGGTGACTTATTTTGCAGAAACAAGCACCAAAAAACAGTGACAATATGGATAATATGGAATGTACCGAATGTATCCTTAGATGCGCGCACACTGGCTGGCTTGTAAACACTGGAAACGTCTCGTACGAATTGTATCGCATACCGGGTTTTGTAACGGGAACCGAGGCAATTATTTGGAGATATAATGCATCGGTTACCGGATTTATCGGATACCGATAGCATCGCGAACCGGGGGTCCACTGTATAACCCTACCGTACACTTTTCCTGGTATACTCATTAAACTTATTCCTCTATAATTATTACAATCTCTTTTGTCCCCCTTCCCTTTATTTAAAGGGACTATACATGCTCTCTGCCAATCCCTAGGTACCTTCCCCTCTTTCATACATTTATTAAAGAAAAATACCAACCACTCCAACACTATATCCCCCCCTGCTTTTAACATTTCTGTCATGATCCCATCAGTTCCAGCTGCTTTACCCCCTTTCATTTTACATAATGCCTAATGCACCTCCCCCACACTCACATCCTGTTCTTCTTCACTTCTAAAAGATGGTATACCTCCCTGGCCAGTGCATGAAATTACCGCTTCCCTTTCTTCGTCGACATTTAAAAGTTCCTCAAAATATTCTCTCCATCTTCCCAAAACCTCCATCTCCCCATCTACTAACTCCCCTACTCTGTTTTTAACTGACAAATCCATTCGTTCTCTAGGCTTTCTTAACTTGTTTAACTCCAAAATTTTTTCTTATTTTCATTAAAATTCCTTGACAGTGCCTCTCCCACTCTATCATCTGCTCTCCTTTTGCACTCTCTCACCACTCTCTTCACCTTTCTTTTACTCTCCATATACTCTACTCTTCTTATAACTCTTCTGCTTTGTAAAAACCTCTCATAAGCTAACTTTTTCTCTTTTATCACACCCTTTACTTCATCATTCCACCAATCACTCCTCATTCTTCCTGCACCCACTCTCCTATAACCACAAACTTCTGCCCCACATTCTAATACTGTATTTTTAAAACTATTCCAACCCTCTTCAACCCCCCCCCCCCCACTACTCATACTTGCACCAGCCCACCTTTCTGCCAATAGTTGCTTATATCTCACCC